TTTTGGGGCCCATTTATGCAAAAAAAAGTTTTTGGAAAAGTGACTGGTTTCTGATGGTGGATTTCCTATATTTGATACCCCCTAATGAAAATGTTTTTTTCTGAAAGCTTTGATATTCATTTTGGGGGAGTGGGAGTGCTGGAAGAAAGAAAGAATGTAAAATGGGAAGAATGATTATAAATGAAAATTCCAAAAAATGGTTACCAGTTGCTTTTAAACAGCTGTTGAGTAGGGCATTCACCAGCTCACTTTGTAGTGAAGCACTAGAATTTACTGTTTTGGAACCAGTCTGGACAGCCAACCTGGCTCACCCTTTTTTGGTTCCAATTTTTTCATTTATAATCATTCTTGCCATGTTCCAATTTTTCTTTCTCTCAGCACTCCCTTTCCCCCAAAATCAATAACAAAGCTTTTGGAAAGAAAGCATTTTTATTTTTTATTTTTCACAAATTTTGAAACTTTGTTTTTTGTTTTTATTTTCTCATATTCATTCTTTGGAACCTATTTTGCTGCACTTCACCAATTCTTGTGACTTCAAGTTTGTGCTTTGAAGCTCTGGAATCCAAAAAAAGCAGCCAAAAATAACGGTCCACTGGTGTACATACCCTCTTGTTGGGAGGAACCCCTCCCAACAAGCTGGTACACAGACAACGGTGGGCTGCTACACTAACGGAATTGCTGTTAGCGCTAAGTGTAGTGTAGCGGAATTTCGCCACAAAACCGCTAATGCTATGCGTGTGGGCCTCAAAAAAAGGCCCACTACACTGGGCTACAGCGCTTTTTCTGCTAAAAGTGCTGTAGTGCAGCGTAGCGTAGCCAAAAACCGCTAAAAAAACGCTAACACTACACATTTTTGATGAAAAAAAGTGCCGCTACGCTACACTTTTTGGGCCAAAAGCGTAGCAGCCCACCGCTGACACAGACCAGCTCGTCAGAAGGGAGTCCTTCTGACAAGCTGGTTTAAAAACCAGCTCTCCGGTGTAGTAGGCCAATTGTGTTTCAAGTATCAAATTGCATAAAGTCACAGTCCAATATGTAGAAGGGCATATATTCTTAGGTGTATTATGGCATAATCACATTCTACGGGTCATTTAATCCATAGTCACTCACTGGAACCACTAGGCTAGCTCCACTCAGTCAAAAGTTATTTGGGATTTAAATTTTATTTGAATACAAAAATGCTTATTGCATAATGCAAACCACAAGTTGGCCTTAGTTTGTTTATATTCAATATTCATTGCATAGGGTAACCACAAGTTGGCCACATTGTTTGTAGGAACACAGAGAATCTTGTATAAATAGCAAAACCACAATTTGGCCGGATTTTATGCATACTCATTATAGGTTAGGGCTAGAACCACAAGGTGGCCATTTATAAACTATAGGTTATAGGTTAGGGCTAGAACCACAAGGTGGCCATTTATAAACTATAGGTTATAGGTTAGGGCTAGAACCACAAGTTGGCCATTTATAGATTATAGGTTAGGGCTAGAACCACAAGTCAGCCGGGTTGTAAAATAGACTATTTAAGGAGGGGCTTTCCCCTCTCATTCCAATTTTTCATCATCTCATCTGATCAGCAACCAGACAGAACAGAGCAATCAATACATACATTAACCAGTGTGATCTTGATCAAGTGCCCCATTGAGATCATTCAGACATTGAGAAGCATAGGAAAAAGAAAGTAGCAACCAGTACAACTTGTGATCTTAAACAAGAGACAGTGATCTTAAACCATTGTGCTCTTGACCAAGATTCAAGGAGGAAGGGAAAGACACTTTCAATAGTCACATTTTTCCTCACTATCATCTCATAAATTCACATTCATCATCAGTACATACGTCAATCATTTTTCAAAATACATAAACATATAAACAAAAACATCTCTTACTCAACATTTCCACTCAAATAGTCTGCTGAATCCACGTTGATCTAGGTTTGATAAGAGACTGCTACACATAGTTTTCTCTATCATCAGTTTTGCCACAACAATAAATAAATTGTTGTGTTAACTCAAGTGTAGTACAATAGAGGGGCAGGTCTTTCAAACCAGCCATAACAGTTGTGGTAGATCATTACATACGTGATATATCTCATCTGCTATTTCCCCCTCACAGGACTGCCACCATCCCCAAAGGAGTTCTCACACCGGGAGGGACCACTCTTGGCGAGCTGGAATGAAGACACTTGCTGGGAGGGGTTCCTCCCAACGGTGTGGCCTCAGCTGCTCCAGGCCGAGGGGGCCGTTTTTTTTTCTCTTTTTTTTGAAAAAAAAAAAAAGAAAAACTGCTGGAAGGAACCCCTTCCAGCTGGCTGCCTTGCCGCCCATTTAAAGGGCGGGTATCCGCGGATATCCGCAAGGATACCCGCCAACACCAGCGGATGTGGATGCCTGATTGCTCTGAAATCGTGAGCGGATATCCGGATACAAAGCAACCATCTCTAGTGTACTTTTCCCACTCCTTTGGGACAGTCAGTTGGCTTGATTTCTGTGGCCGGCTGGTGCCAATGGCAACCTGATGGCTAGCCAATCTGGTGAATAGGAGGTAATCAATGTGAATGAGGTGCGTCTCCACCTCTGTTGACTCTGGTTCCGAAGTTGGTTCATCCTCAGATCCAGGAGGCTCAATTGCAATAGATTGAACATTTGATGTGCTCACAAGTCAGTGTGGCACCTTGTAAGATTGTAGGCAACAGCAGACAATGCGGCAACCCCATCAAACCAGGCCCAGGTGGAACCACACACAAAGAGGTCACCGCAGGCTGATTATTCACCCATGCCAAAGAAATTAATTGGATCTGCCCCCCAAAGCAACTTGGACCATCAGCTGGGTTTGCCCAGGGACCAACATTTGAGTCTGCAGTTCCAGAGGGTACCCGTCTTGAGCTGCACCACCTTGGCTATTAAACCAGAAGACCACCGGTTCAAATGGGTGTTGATTTGGATGAGATGGCCCAAGCCAGGACTCTTGGCACTCAGTTTTGCCAGGAGGACACTGAGAATAAATGAATTGGTCCATTCCAATTTTGTGCACAACCTTTCTTTATAAGTAAAGACATCATATCTCATTAGTGCTCCAAATTACAACCTTGACATCAGCCAGATCACTTACCCGTGGAAGCAGTTCTGATGGGCAGCTGAATTTTGGGGAAAAAAAGGTTGCTGCTGGGATTATGGCAGGAGCACCGCTTGTGGTTCAGGTGGGGGCTTTCTCCTCTGCCGGCCAATTTACTTTCTTCCAGATGTTTGGATATCATTGTAATACCCTGTATTGGAAGTTTTTTTTTGGATTTTGAGCGGTCCGAGAAAGCAAGCTTTTGGGAACTGCTGTACCACAATAATTGCCCAGGCAGGTCCAGGTGTCTGGTTTGGGCAAAAAAGTGACCCAGTACCTGGTTCCAATTGCCATATTTAATTGCTTCCCAATTTTTGGGCTGTCCAATGAATTTCAGAGGATGGAATAATGGGACATCCAGATAGTGCATTAGATTTGTAATTTTCAACAACATCTACATATAACTAAAAGAATAGGCTCATAGAGCCACACAAACTGTTATGCACCCCACCGCCAGAGTTGACCTCCAATTCACATTTGTTGATGCCAAAATTTGACAGAGACATGTGCCCAATACAAGCAACACCCCCAAAAGGGGCAAAAGGCCATTGAGTAAAACCCACAAACATTTGGGACAAAAACAAGGTCACCAAGTCATACTCCCCAAAATGCGGGGCAAATACTAGTAACCCTTACATAAGGTAAAATCAAGCACCTGGTGGTGCAAGTGACAATGTTGGTCCTGCATCCAAAAATCAGCCTTATCTCAATCAGGTCAACCCAACAGGTCTTGGGAGCCTCCAGATTCAGGGCTGGAGGGGTGGCAGGGCAAAGCTAGGTTTCATTGAGGGTAGTTTTAAATTACAAAGCCGCCAGGCTCCAAGGACATTTTCCAATAGGCTCCTTCTTGACTACTATGACATAGCCCTTCCAGTCATTGATATATTAGTTTGATCCCCCACTTGTAATAACAATCATTTGGCATTGGTGCTGGAGGTTCCTGCTGAATTTGGAGATGTTAAAGCTGTAGTGATTTGATAAATAGACAAAGATAACAAGCAAGCCTCACTGAGAGGCTTATGGGTAAACCAGGAATCGTGGCCTGAGGGCTCCATCCTCCAAGGTCTGTATGTATCAAGGTTTTTTTCTGTTTTTGTTTTTTCAAGAAGTGCCCTTTCGAAATCGGCGCCCCCACTATAAGTGGGCGCGCCCTGGAGACTCCCGGAGACCTTGGAAAAGGCCCGTCTCGGGAGTCGGCGCCCCCAGCTAAAAAGTGGCGCCGCCAACCCCATATAATAACAATCCTACCCGGAGGCCACGGATCGGAGCCTTCCCGGGCTCCTTCAGCCGGGAGTCGCACCGGTGTGCGGGTTTGCGGTTGATTAGTTGATAGTCCTACACCAACTAGAAACTGTCGATAGATGATGGCCCATGGTTGTTGATCCTATGTACTCTCGCGTTGACCCACCCTGTTACATATAAATAGTTGCAAGCTAGCAACCCGCGAGGGTGCGCTCGCGTCGGTCGTGAAGCTTGGTGGAGTTGCCGGTCGGTGTATTCCAACGCCGGGTAGAATATACGTATGGAAAACTTGCCCATGAAACCCTTCCTAGATCATCATTCCCCCCTGTCAAGGCGATTGGAGTTGGACCAAGCTCACTGCTATCGAGAGCTGAAACTTGTTTCAATGGTATGCAATGGCTCAGCTGCTGAGGCCTCCGTTCGGTTCCTGATGATTCCGAATTTCCGTTCGCCCATGCGTGCCCATGCTTCCCCCTCTCCCAGACTCCGCAGGTCATACATAATTTGAAGAAAAGCTATCAACGTAGGTAGACAGACAGACCACTTGCGCAACTGTCTGCCATCAACACTCCGTTCCTGGGGCACACATTGGCACACAACAGCACTCTAATCTGATGTGAACAGATAGACTCGGCAGGTTGTGTATGTATGTTAAACATATCTTTACATGTATAGCTAAAGGGACTTGCCCAACCGATTTTCTCCCCGGCGCACTCTCTAACTCTTTCATATGTTTCATGACTCCCTCCTCTTGTTTCATTTGGGGTCAGCACTTTCCCCCCCTACCCATCCCCCCCATATCCTTACATGCCCTCGATCGAGCGAGCCTCAACGGCGTCAGAATCAAAATTTGTCGCACGTCTCAGCCCAGACACACCCTTAATTGCTCGGCTCTGAAAGTTCAGCCCATGCAACCCTTCCTTAAATAAGTACTTGCACTCAACCCCACTCTCTCTGGTCCAGATCCCCCTTCGCATTTGTTCCAACTGCCTATATTTGCCCTCATTCCGCTCGGTTAGCTAGGTTCTAGACCCGCTCCCCCTCCCCCACCTCTCAGTCTGGTTAAGACTTGGTGACTTTTTTGGTACTCCCAATTTCCTACTTAACCTTTCAACACACTCTTTTCCTCCTTTATTGCCATGTCGAAGCAACAAACTCAGACCAAGGGTAAGGCTCATCTAACAACTCTTCTTGGTATTCACTTCAACTCTGTGTCAGGCACTGACTAACATCTGCCCGTTTCATTCATCATTGCAGCCTCCATCGGGTCGTGCACAATGGGAATTTGCAAATCTTCCTCACAATCTTCACGACCTCGCTCTTATTCCCGACCCCCACCGATAGTCGTACACTCATGCCAATCGCAGAAACAGTTGGAGCCCGTCATGCCATCCAAATCACCATCCCACAAGACCCTTGGGCATTGCGGGCCATCGAAGGTCTTGGTCGAACCTCTTGATTCACCTGCATTCTTAAAGGGAGACCTGAACTTTACTACTTTTCGGGAGAGGGCAGCACTGGCTATCGCAGAATGGGGACCTTCACCCACCAGCTCACAGTTCCCAGCAAGCGAGGTTCGTGCTATAACCCCTCGGCGCAATCAATTCAGTCTTGGGTCAAGCCTGGCTCCCATTACTCACCATGGAATCAAGGTTCCCAGTCCATCAAAACATTCCGCTGGGCATTCTCATCTTCCGTCGCCTCCGCCCACACCCCTTACCCCTGGCCCTTACTCCCGCCCTCAACATCGTGAGCAGAGTTCGACCATCCGCCGCTCGTCCCTCAAGTTCAGTAAGCGTCCTAGGCCCTGCCCACTCCAGCTGAAGCAATCCAAGATGCCCGAAAACCCTGAAAAGACATACCACGATGAAATGGAAAATTTCCGGAACGTCCGCTTTGCAGACGGCTCTCCCCTTCGAGGTTCCACTTGGTACGTCCATGAGGATGATGAAAGAAAAACAAATGATGACAGACATCCAACTTATGTCTTCTAACCTTGATGACATCACAGGCACATCACACAATACCCCGCCAGACTTGCGTCCCCGCCGATTTCTGCAGCCAATCTTAGTCTCGCAGACCTAGTAGAGCTAGAAGCCATCAAACAATCTCTTGGCACCTGGTGTGGTGAGTCCTTCGCGTCTCAGCTTTCCACCCGTCTTAACAAACGATCATGCTGACTCGCCGACGCTGACAATCTGTATGAGTAGGTGAGATGATGGGCTCCCCGATGCGAGGCTCATTCAGCCAATCCTCGGCGTGCTCTTTATCTGAGTCAGAAGGCCAGAAGAGCTGGGCCACTCCAAACACGCCTTTTCCAAGCTCCGAAAGTTTGACCTCTTCGCCCATCTCCTGTCCCGAAGAATTTGATGACATCTGGGGCGATGTCGGGTGGCCCCAATCACCAGCCTACGATTCAGATTGCGATAGCGAGATCTTTGAGGGTATGCATTGAAATATCAAATGTTGCCCCTACCCCACCTCGCCTCTGGAATCTTGGCCGTTCTTTCTGGAACATTGCGTCACATTCGTTTTTCGCACTTGCCGTTCACTATTTACTGCTCCTGCGTTCAACTTTAGCCCACTGCTCATTTCTCGGATGAACATTCCCGTTTTCCCACAACCTTGCCGTGCCTTCGTTTCCTCATTCTTTTTTTATCTTCTATATTGCCATTTTTACAGGGTGAATGCTCACATCCTTCATTTACTGTGTGTTGCTTCGTTGTAAGTTCAATAGATGTACTTTTTGGTTATTACCGTTCTTTGATTTATAGGTGGGGGCTCTTTTTTCATTTCTAAAGATGTAGAAGCTAGTTTGCACAGGTTTAGAAGTTCAAGCTGAGGTACTTGTCTTATTTTGGGTTTGTTTTTTGACATCCTTTTTTTTACTCCTGAAAACATAGATTTTAGTTCTTCTTTCTGTATGTGTCCTTGCAAGCATTTCTACATCCCTTTGCAACTGTGTTGCCAAATTTTGTTTCTGCTGTTTTTTGGGTTGTTTAACTTTCTCTTGTCTCAATGTGCAAGAAACATTTTTGACATCAAATAACCTCAGGTTGCTCTCTGTACACTGATAATCAGTTGCATTGGCTCAGTGATAGAGCAGGTCCTTTCCATGGCTGTCAAGTGGGTTTGACAACACACATGTCCCCATCTTTCCATGCTTCTTCCACCCCAATGGGGGTGACTAGAAATCATCTGGGGACCTCTTTTGTTACTGTAATTAGTACTGATATCTTTTGTACCCTCAACCCTGTGGCATATCAACTGTTCCATGTCATCCTAGTAAGTATTGGCTGCATACAGCTTCATCTTCTCATGAATTTCATACACAATTTTTCTGTATCTTTTACCTTTACAATGAATTTCAAATTGACATGTTCAAGTTTGTATCAAGACAATAGTGAATTTTTCAAGACAATGATCAGAAAAACCAATTTCAAACACTCCAAAGTAATTCAAAGGATCAGGTTTTGGTTGCAAAGAAAGATGGATGTTAGATGGAGGAAGTCTGAAGATCTTGATGAAAATGTACTTGCTTTATTTCAACTGACCCCTTCCTTTTTGGTTGTTTGTTGTGATTGTCAGATCTTCACTCAGTCACTCTCATGTCTTTTGATTTGATCTCATCTCACCAATCTCCTCTGGGTTCTCTCATGTGAACAGACAAGTGCTAGGACTCAGTATTTCTACCATGTTAGGGATAAGTGACCTTCAGGGTTCCAATCTCATATTTGTTCCTTTTTTCTCAATGAAAGTGCCTACAAATTGGTAGCCAAGGGCTCTGGCCAGGGCCTTTGTTATTTTCAAATTGTGATACATTCAAACCCTTCTAACCATATACCCATATAAGGGCATAAACCCCCCTACCACCTACTCATTTGGGTGCACCAAATGTTCATTTTTGCCTGTAGCCCATCCTTGCAACTGCATAACCTGCCAAACCACATAGCAAATTCAGTCCATCTAGGGGTATGCAGTTAGAAGGGTCTGACTGTACTTTCCCAGGCAGCTATTGAAAACCAATTTTTTTTTCTGATTGGGATAGAAAACCCCTAGATCTTCAACTTGCAGTTGATCAGGACTCAAGCAAAGTTTTGGCAATCAAATGAGCTGAATGACGGAATTCCCATTGCCATTTAGTGTTCTTTTTAAACCCTCCCAATGCCTGAAATAACAGCCCAATCATAATTGGAATCAACCCATACTAGGCCTATTTCTACAAGGCTTGTGGAAAAACATTTTTTTAGAAAAACTTAACATCCAGGGGGTATAAATTCCATTCTGGAAGGGTTGTAGATTGTGAAGGGAAGTGGATCCAATCAGGACTTCCTGTCCAATTTGGGACCCTCACAGATGTCAATTTAAACACAAAAAGTCTAGATTTTTGCTGGAAAATTCAGTTTCAAGGCTCTAAGTTGCTCCTGGGAGACTCACAGATCTTGACAGGAAGTTGTCCAGTCATCCACTCACAAATGGATCTGCACAGACCTGCACACAGTCACAAACCTTTGTTGAAATCTCAGCTTGTGATGGTATCAAAGAGAACAAAAATGACAGAAAACTTTTATTTTTACTGGAACAGACTTGTGGTACAAAATGACAAAGGAGAACCAATGTTACTTGATTTCATTGTACTAAGCTAGACTTCAAATTTCAAATAGATCACATACAAATGATTGAGTCGTGATTTTAAAATTAAAACTAATTATTAATAAATTATGATGAATATGAAATTGGTTAAAACTTTTTGGTTACGACCAGCAATGGGCCAGTTATGCTAACATTAGCGTTAGCACAGCTTATTGTGGCAGAATTCCACTGAAAAATAGTCCAGTGTAGCAGAATCCGGCCATGTCTGCACCAGAACTACATGTGCAGGCCCCAAAAAAGGGCCTGCTATGCTGTGCCAATGTGCTGTTTAGCAGTTTTTTGACCCTGTAGCAGCTGTTAGCGTAGAAAAAATGCATCAACACTAACAGATTTCCACCCAAAAAAGTGCTGCTACACTAACACTTTTTGGGCAAAAAGCTTGGTTGTTGAAATTTTGCTCATCTATCTCTTCCTCCCTGTTATTCACATGTCACACTCTCATTCACTGGTCACTGTTTTTATTATTATTATTCACTATGCTTGTGTTCTGAGAGCCACAACCTGAGCCTCATGTAACTAGAATATTTAATCTCTAGTCTCTAGCAACGGTGCAACAGAGACAATACAATACGGTATCAGGCGTTTATCTGTATTGTCTCAGAATTTGAATACCCAAAAATACCGGATTTGTGTTGTCTCACTTTCCTGAGACAATACACACATATTGTCTTTGGAAAGTGAGACAAGTATTCTGTATTGTCTCAGATGACTGATCCCACCAAAATTGTATTTGATACATAAGATATTTGGCTGTATTGAAGAAAAAACAAAAAAAACAAAGATGATTTTTTTTTTCATTTGTAAATCCGAATCCAATACAAATATATTTTTTCACCAACCAAGGAAATACTGATACCGGCATCAGGCTCAAAATAAATACGATCCGATCCGATATGAATACATGTCTCGTATCTGTTGCACCATTGTCTCTAGCCTTATGAATTGAAAATGATCAGTTTTGACCCTTTCTGATCCCTTGAGTGACACTTTAGCCTACTCAAGGTGCTTTCTCAAGAGACACTTAAGCCTCTTTTGAGTCAAGTATATTGGTCCTTTTTTTGACGCTGTCTGCTTTTGGCTTTGCCAACTTCCCCCTCTTTGTCTCAAATCCAACAATGGTTTTAATGTAGCGACCCACCCTTGGTACAACATCAAACACCAACATGAATGGGATGTAACCTAGAAGATAAGCAAGACTATATGAGAGAAGAAATACCCTCCTCAGACAGGGTTCAATGACTACAAGCTGGGGAATAAACTTCATAACCGGAGATGTTGTCAGAATATAACGGAGAAATCTTTGAGTGATGAATCTGCAGACCCATAGGTAACAATCTAAGAAAATGAGATAAAAGGAAAATGAAAAAGGAATGAGTGGTGAATAAGAAGACAAAATTCCAACACCTTTGTAGAATAGGCAGGTGTCAACAATGGACCACTACACTACACCACACTGTTTTCCCAAAAGGTATTAGTGGAGCATTTTTTTTTGTGTGTAGAAATTTTGTAGTGTTAGCAAACAGTTAGTGGTTTTTTGCTATACTACACTGGGCTATGGGCCCCTAATGGCCCCTACAGGGCCAAAATGCCGCTAACAGCTGCTACAGGGTCACAATGCTGCTAACCAGCACATTAGTGTAGTGTAGTGGGCACTTTTGGGGGGCCTGCACACATAGTGTTAGCGTGAATACAGCCAAATTCCACTACACTATGCTAATAACTGGCCCACTGCTCCAGGTGGCTTTCCATGGGCGCAATTAGTTGCTTGACTATGTACAAACTGGGTCAGCTGACAACCTGTAATGCTCTCCTCAAACATGAACACACACAGTGGAAGGAAATTTTGCAGGACACTAGAAAGAATTTCCACAACTTCTGGATTGGAACTTTTGGCTCTTAATTTTCTTCATTTTTGAGACAAGAATACTAAAATCTTTTTAATTATTTTGTTGTATATGGACTTTTGTAATAAAAATAAAAATCACAAAACAAGTCTCTTAAGGAAAAAGAAACAGAAAGATAATCATTTACTATCTACATTCATAACAGTCATATTGATATTTTTATGTTTTTAAGAGAATGTAAATCTTTTTTTCTTATAAATTTTATAACAGATCCATTGATTTGTTTTGATGTGAGTAGATAAAAGAAATAAAAATAGAAAATGGAAACTATTTATAGTAGGCCGGTTCACCTCTGAAGTTCAAGGCAACGTTTAGCACATTTATAGATAAAATTTTATGAATTTTGTCCAATCTCATGAATCATCAGGTTTGAAGTAATGTGACATTTTTCACAAACTTGTAAAATTTTGATGACAAATGTGATTAGATTAGCCTGAAGACTTTTCCATGAATTGATCATGATGATGTTAATGGAACCAAAACAAATGGACAGTGATATGACCTCTCAATTGAGGAGCAGAAAAATGGAGCAGTGAAAAATGACTGAATAATACTTGAGATGAGGAAGAGCTAGATGAGCTCTGGGACAGTGAAGGAGGGACACTGTCTAACGGCATAACCAGCGTCATCGATGTGGCAACCGGAACAGTGCCGTGGGCTCACCTTGAGGTTGTTCTGCATTTGATCCTTTCAGAATCACAGCAACATACTAAAGCTATGATAACTGGTGGTCAAAGCTACCAGTACTCCCGGTCATTTGACTCCTTCTCTGTCAAGCACTGTTTTGTGTTGTTAAAATCGGTTAGAAAACAAGCGCGGAAAGAACCTTTTAATGTGGAATGATCACCAACCTTCCAGGCCTTTCACAATCATCTCATTCCATTTGGACGACGAGTCCTACGTAAATGTCAATGCCTCACATTGCTATAAGGAAGCCTCTGACAGAGCATATGTTCAACTCCCTTTTAACCACAAACCCTTCTAACTCACAAATAAGGTGTGAATTGCTGATGGTAATCTGGACCTATTAATTCATCCCCTCTCTTCTATGAAAAATATCGAGCAAAGGGTATGGCCCGGTTGAGCGAGAGTCGGATGTCAATATGAAACGACCACACTCTGTGAACATATCTGCATGCAAAGATGGAGGTAAGATGATAACATGGTTTCTACAAAAAAACAACGCATTCAAGAGAGAGGACTACCACGATTAGAAAACAAAAAAGGACGATGTAGAGACATGATCAAAAGAAGTTAGAAAGCTCGAATTCGGGCACGACCGGTTGACTCAATACTTTTTTAGGCATCGGGGTCGGATTTTCGATGGGGTTTGAGGGCTGATGATCTGTGGAGGGGTCTTGAGAGGAATCGGGATCGAGGAGCAACTGAGGAAGAGGGTCGGACGCGATTGGAAGACGTTTGGGGGGCAGATCGGGTCGGTCGATGTGCCACATCTTGACCAGGGCGACGGCCAACATGGTACATCCTGTGTCCACAGCAATAACTTCTCAGCAAACCATTTCACATGAAAGAACATGACGCATAAGGCTCACCAGCGTTGATTAGCTCTTCTACACTTAGTAGAACCAGCGCTCTCTCGTCCGTCCACTTCAGCGGCGATTGGTGGGCTCGCTTGAGACGATTGAATAGCATGACCAGCGAGAGATCTAACGGCCCAATCCGAACCGAAAATCTCTCAGAGACCGAGGGCGTCCAATGGTTCCGGATCAACGGGTCATCCCAGCTCGCCTGTGAGTCACAAAAGAAAGATCCATATTATTTTGATTCAACATTTTGCACTTTTTTCTTTTGGATTGAAACGGAGATGAAAAACGGTGAGTACTGACGACCAAGACGCGACAAGCCAACTCGTCCAGTCCAAGGATCCGGAAAGACCAACTGACGAGCCAACGATTACCGGTCGAGAAGCCGAGCGGAAGGACGGTCTCGGTGAGCAGTTTATCCATCGCCGGGCCCCGGTCGCCTTCGTAGGCTCTGACGATCGCTAGGGCTAGCTGCCAGTCGGCGAGCTGGCGGACACAGACATTCACCGCGTCTTGGAGCCGGTCGGCTAGTAGGAAGAAAGAGGCTGCAAAACCTGGACGGAAAATTGTTTTCCCACCAAAAGAAAAAAGGAAAGCGGATTGGTCAGTATTTTCTTCTCTCTCCTTCTGAAACTATGATTATAAGAAAACTCACGGAAGCGCTGTCGACTGATCAGGGCGAATGCGTTCTTTTGTGCCGCCGTTTTCCAGCGGGCTTCCGAAAAGTCATTCTCAAGGAACTTAGTCATCAAAGGTCTATCAGCGTGTCCGTACGCGACTTTCCACAGGCCCATCAGGAGCCGTTTCTTTTTGAGGGCCATGTAGAAGATGCTACATGCCGCCGGATCCTGTTCCCTAGGGCCGTCGGACGAAAGGGCCTGAACTGAGGACCGGTCATTACCACTACCACCGCTGACGTATTCGGCTTGGGCGACCTTTTCGAGGTACGAATGTACCTCCTCCACAGGATCGAGCCACATGAAGAGACCCACCGATCGGGCAGCTTTCCAATCTAATCTGGACCCCAGTTGATGGGAATACTTGCTTAGGATCAAGCTCGTTTCTTGACCGATCAGGCCCCGTGTCGAAGACAGTTGTGCACTTAAAATTCCACAGTTTTGGCTTGGCCCAAACCCGAGATCCCAATCAGCCCGTGTCCCAACATGATCCTCCAAATGATCGATCATGGAAAATATGTATTGGCAGCCATATGTATCAATCCCATGAGTCCGGGCTGTTTGTACCTAAACAAAATTCATGCCGACATGAGTAGGTTGGCCAGAGAAGACAAATCCTACTGGTCAACGCACCTGTAAGAACGCCCTGGCCAAACGCAGAATCAAAGCTTGCTCTTCTGCAGATAGTAGAGGAATTCTGCGACCATCAACGGCGGAAGAGATGGCATCGATGTGAGCCTGGGACAGGATAGTGGGCGACAAGTTCCCAGGCAGTACGGAATCATTCGCCAAGTCGTCCAGCTCTTGGACGATCGATTCCTCATCATCTTCAAGGCCGAAAGTTACGATTCTCTGGCATAAGGATGTCAACGGCTGCAAACACCCTTCCAAGGCAAGAGAAAGACAAGCCACAGTCGCAAATGACAGTGATAAATTACCTGCAGTAAATCACAGTCCTTGTGTTAGTATCTTGTGTAGCATTGGAAGAGATAAGAGTGGCTCTCCTACCGAATAGAAGTTGATTTTTCAAGAGGATAGGATGCCAAGGCGGTAGACTGAGTCGCTCAGGAATGCTGATCGGAGGCCCCAGTAAGGTATGTCCGGCGGTTTGATAGAGCACTCGGGTTGAATGGTCGGACCCGGCAAGCCAGGAGATCTGAGAAATGCAGCCCAATCTGCCAAGCAAGGAGTGGGAAGCGATGATGAGAGAGCGCCAAGAAGACAAAGAAAGAGAGGGAGTGAATGAAGGGGACTGACTCGGAGTGGACAGTTGTCGTTTGTGCCCACCATCCATCGCTCGCTCGAGTGTATATTCTGACTAGATCAGTGCCACAACAGACACAAAGGAAACATTCGTTTGGGAGGGAGTGGGCTCTGCTTTGATAGTCCGACCACTTGAGCTGGGCCTCATTCTCCGCTCCATCACTGCCTCGCTCAACCTCGAACGTGTCAAAACCCACGATCCCAGGCGAGTAAGGCTGTTGTCTCAAATCCACGACAATCACTCTATACGTCCGACTGAGTTTTGTCTCGCTCATTACACACACTGTCGACAGGGAGAAAAATATCAGTTTCCAAGAGCATCATCAGCAGTAAAAGAGATTTAACAAGTACACTAACACATGGCGAGAAATCTTGAGTATTGTGGCTCAAGTAGAATAACTTGACTTCTAACGTCATCCAGGCCCAAGGTTTTTTGAGTCCCGATCTGATGGCACATAGTTACTTTCAACTTAAAGGAACAATCGACGCCAGGATCACAAAGATTTTCGGGCAGGAGTGCTCGAACCAGTTGGCCATTTGTGTCAAGCGCCAGGACAGTGGATGAAGGTGAAGAACTGCTTTGGGCCAGGGTGCTGAGCAAAAAGGAACTGGGAAAGGAGACCTCATGGGACGATGTATAGAGCCCAGAGTCATGATCAGACATCCTTAATCCTTCAGGCATATTCCACACAAGTAACCGATTTGAAGAACTAAAGCAAATCGTTGAACTTCCTCCATCAGAGCATTTGCTTTTTCCCGATTGCTTCAAGCTTGAGCATTCCACAACAAGTGCCTTAGGTAGCTCCCCCTCCGAGAAGCCTTTGAGGCTGATTTTTTGATAGGACAACGGCTGGACGGAAATGTGGATTCCACGGTTGAGATCAGTGACGAAAAGGCCCGTGGATCCGAGGTGTGAATGTTCGGCAGTTACATTGACAGGGTCACTCTTGCAATACCAACCTTGGCTGTCGAAGCATCCGACAGCTTGAACGCTGCCTGTCAGGTTGCATTTTAGGGGGGCCTTAGTCTGATCGGTGTGTGTGGCATAAGCGAGGAGTCGAGAGGCGCGGGTAGAGCTACCTTTGGCTGGGTGACATAGGCAGACATATCTCGTGTCTTGATCTTTGGTGCTGGCTGTGACTAAAAGGCCAGCAAAGGTAGTGTGCTCACTAGCAACCAAGCTCGTCCGAGTGAACAAGGGTGTGTATCCGTATGGGAGCCGCTTCATCGAGACCAGTCGGGGATTGGAGCTAGGGAGGGCTGGGCGAGCTAGCAGGGCGCCGAGTGATATTTGCGCGATAAAGATCTCGCCAGTTACTGTCAACGGACGCGCAACAATCGAGCAACTCAGATCTCCCGGTTTCCCCGGGCTAGTATGCATGCTCATCAGGCCGTGAACCATTGTACCTGGACGCAGAAACAATTCAAGCATGTCCTTGGGAAGGAGATAAGGGTTTGCGGAGAGCATTGTTGTGTTTTTAGTCGATCGGGCCAGATTGACTTCTCCATTGGAGAGGACAATTACGTTCAGTCGAGAGTCGTGACCAAGGAGTTGTTCGGTTTGAGAGATAAACTGTTCGGCCAAGTTATCCAACGGCAAGGCAGCCAAGATTCGGGGCGAATTGACTGGGACAGAAATCGCACACATGCCATGATGGAGATATTGTACGGTAGGCTTATAGGGTCCATCAAGCCGTTGGGGTGGATTTCCTGGTGCAGCGAGTGGAAGAGGCCGTTGGATGAGATTGTAATAGTGCAGAGCTGTTCCGAGGACTGGAGCGACGACTTCTACTGACAGAAAAGGCAACTGATTTGTATGGTTCGAAGACAGACTTTGACGGGATGAGAATCGGATCGAATGGATGGGTAGAGACAGCGTGATCGTTTTCGGGGAATATTGGGGGCGATTAGAGGAGGCTTTGGATGAGCTGGCAGGGAACTCGTATGTCCGCAGGATAGGCGAGCCCTGGAGAAGACAAAAAAGACAAGGAAGAGGAGAAGATTTATTGGCACGGTCAGATTTCACCAAAGAGGATGCAGGAAGTAAGGAAAGAGGACTGACTACCACGATTGCTACAAACAGACAGGTCTCATCGTCAAGAACCTCCAAAGCGGATTGATCGCAGGCTTGGCCACTAAGAACCAAGGATGGGGTGGGGTCGGTCAGGTGTTTTGATGATACTTGTGTGGCTGAGAGCGGAATTGGTTGAAGACCCACCGGAGTGCCCATCTCTTGATCCAATGCGCCGGCTCATCCGAATCTGAGCTCTCCTCCTCGAGCTGATACAACGAAAGACCGTCCTCTCCTGTGACGAGACAGTAGGACTGTTTGAGGTTGATCGAGAGGATTCTCGCGATGTGACAGGTGAAGGTCGAATGTAATTTCCACGAGAAGGGAAACGTCGAACTTGTGTTTGGACGTTCAAAGATCGCTGTCAGGGGACCACAACAGACTGCCAACTTGACCGATGGAGGGGGAATGAAAAGAAACAGATTTAGTTTTTTTTGGAGACCAGCGGTTTTCGAAGACAGGAGAGACGGACTGACTCTTCGGTTATCCTCAGTTAGATAGACCACATCAACCGATTTATGATAGCTCGGTAGATGAGGCAGGTGGTCGATGAGATTGATTGATTGAAGTAACCGCCAGGACTCTGGGTCGAAGAAATTGATGAGCAAACCGGAGGCGTAACACTGGTTGAAATTAAAAATATAGTTTTTCTTATGTCAGTTAGCCAGTGTCTCTGCGGTGCTGATTGATTGACTCTCTTACTATGATGAGTTGGTTGGAGTGGGATGGACTGATTGAGAGTGCCTGTCTTGAAGAGTTGACCGAGCTGAGGTTGACTGGTTGGTGGTAGGATGATGACATCATCGACTTGGCTGCTGGGGGAAAGCTGCCGATCGAGTTCACTCTTAGCTGTCTCGGGTGTCCACGGGGGTCCAGGTCTATGTAGCCGGCTCAGGCTCCGTCGCTCCGGCAAGGCCGGCGTCTAGAGCATCGCGAGGGGGGTTAATCCTCCGGGAGTAGATAGTGAATATGCATCGAAAACCACCCGAGCAAAAAAAAGGGTGTGACCGTGTGCCCGGCCACCACCACTATGTAATCGTGATTAGCATCAACTCATCCCGGAAACATCCTCAGCAAGCTCATCTTCTTCTATGAAGAACCACCGGTGTGTAGAACGGTCAATACATAGCAAAAAGATAGAAACTCACCGAGCATTCCCCTGTTTAAAAAGGCGCCGCTTCCAGCTTGAAGATTTGCCCCATCAAAACCTTGTCACCCCGCACTAGGGGCATTAGGCCGAGCCTTATCATGGTGCACTCATAATTCTCCCCGAAATTCGTAACATCTCCGTTGTATGTAGCTATGTACAGCTATGTACATATGCGACTTGGGAAGGCTCCGGTAGCACAAGGACAACATAGACTTATTTCGATCTGTGAGAGAAAATATTATGTTACTTCGACTTCCTCGAGGATCCTTCTCAGCTGAATGACTATGACATCTCTTCCAGATCGTTTTTCCTTCTTACTTATGGCAAAAAAAAAACGTTTTATCCGATCTTGGCTCAAAGTAGTCAATCTCCACGAAGAAACCGAACCATCAGAACGATCGACCACGAGGATCTTAGGTTGGTTTACCTGCTGTGAGTCTCAAAATCTCGATGTTTTGCATCGGCTTGCATGTCTAATCTTATAGATGAACCTCTGCTTGCTCAGAGCCTCCGGGTATTTGCTTCCCTCTGAGCTCTTCATCGATATCGAACCAACCTTCCGCTTTCTTCCCAGCTCTACTTCGGTGTGTATTGGTGAACTTGCCTTAAAGGTCGTCGATGAGGCTCATGTCGTGAGCTACTTGTGGAGGCTGGTCATGTCTCAGCAAATTTATTGGAATGCTGGACTCATAAGTACACCATGCGAGCCTCGTCGACGGCGATCAAGGCTAGTTGACTTGAATCGATACTACAGAAGATCAACAATGGGGATTTTATTATTTGTTGCCTTAAATTGTGAGTCTCGTTTTTTATGGGCTTGCACGACCAATTGATTCTGACACATGCCTGTTGGATCAGAGTTTTGAGGTCCTTCTCAACCGGCTCGCTTTCCATGGAGCTCTTCTCCAGTGCGGAAGAGCGAACTTGCCTGGATGGTCGTTGATGGGACCCATCTGATCAGCTACACCATGGGGCGGGTTTTTAGAAAAACCCCCCAGCAAACGGATGGATTCCGTCCCGAGCGCCCGCAACTTGGTTGCGAAGCATCCAAGGGACGCTCGGGCGGGCCTGGCATCATTTGGACGCTTCAGAAAGCGTCCAAGGGATGCTTGGCAGGCGAGACCATCCAGAGGATGGTGTACAGCCCGGTGTCCATCGGACACTTGATTGGGAGTGTCCGATGGACAACAAGAAAACCATCAATCGGACACTTCTCAGAGTGTCCGATTGATGGTTTTCACCCGGGTCCGGCAGTGGAAAAAAAAGGGTCGATTGTCGAAAAATTATTCAAAAGGTGGTCGATGGTCGAAAAACGATCCAAAAATGCAGCGCGGGGTATGTAGTTGACTCTCTGACCAGTGGAATATCAAGAATCTAGTATACACTACGGGCAATTAGGTGACGCTCCCGCGCGGAACGTCACCTAACCCAAGGGGGGCCCCTTTGGGTTAGGTGACGCTGCGGGCCGCAGCGACACCTGTTTGCCTGTAGTGATAGTCGAGTGGCAAAGTACAGCCTCTGTGGAGTTACTGGTGCCACCACCTGGAGGTCATGGGTTCAAACCCAGGCCTGGCATTTTTGCCCCCAAGGGCTTCTAATCCTACCATCCGATGGATGGTTTGGCCCTACCATCCGGGTTCAGCAATATGCAAGTCGCATCCAATGGATGCTCCTTGCAGGGCCAAGGTCGGATGGCATCTGGTACATCCGATTGGGTGTCCAAATGCCATCCACCACGCCCGGTGGTGTACTTGTGCGGGGTGGTTTTGTGGAAGCAGAAGCCAAACTATCATACTTTGAATAGTCATCACGACCACTCAGACTGTCGGCCTGTTTGACTCAACCAACCCCTGTGAATAGCTCATATGGGCCTCATCTACGACAACCAAGGCCAGTTGACTTCAACCCGCACTTGAAGCAGGCCAAGAATGGCGAGTCAAGTGTTGTATGTATCATTGTATACCTTGTGTGAGTCTCGTTATTTTTTGTAGGCTCATGCGATCGATGAAGCTTACTGGCCCATGACTGCCATATCGGAGTCTGAAGATCCTTCTAGACTGTTTGCCTTACATGGACTTCCTCGTCATTGTGGATCGGTGGACTTGACTTGAAGTGTCGTCGATGAGGTTCATATGATAAACTACTCCTGTGAGGCTTGGTTGCGCTGAAGCAAACCAAAAACCATAGCTCTTCCTATCATGAGAACTGTTTGGTCTACCAAGCATCGCAAGTATATCATGTGGGCCTCATCGACGGAAATCGAAGCCAGTTTACTTAAATCTACACCGAAGAAGATCCAGGACGCGGTGTTTCGCCTCAAGTGTATTCTTCTGGCGTGAGTCACAACGCTGTTTACACGCTCGTTTGACCAATCAAACCTGACAGATGGCTGCTAAATCAGTCCTGATATCCTTCTAAATCGTTGGATTTTCACCACGCTCTTCGATGAGGATTAGCGAGCTGCGTTGGACGGTCGTCGACGAGGTTCATGTGATCGGCTACTTGAAGGGCTTCGTTATGTCCAAGTAAACCGGAAAAGCAAAACAAGACTTTGGGCCGTGATGCGGACCATTCGGTCCCTTGGCTCGCTTGACCTCATCAAATTCCGCAAGTAGATCATGTGGGCCTCATCGACGACAATCTGGCTCAGCTGACTTGAATCAACATCGACGAGCTTGGGAATAAGTGGTTTTGAATCGAGTATTTTCTGTGAGTTTTGATGTTGCTATCGGCTCATGTGCTCAATGAAGCCAACCGTTCTCAGGTTCCGACGTATTCCTCACGAGACCGATCTTTACTGAGCTTTGCTGCTGGACCGGGGCTCCGAGTAATGTCTCAACTGTTTGATAACCACTCAGATCTTCATCAGAGTATGGAATGGGTCAGCTTGCTTTGATGGTCGTTGATGAGGCTCATATGGTCAGCTACTTGTGGGGCTGGTCATGTTCAGCAGATTGCTTGACTTAACCGACCCCTGCAAGTAGATCATGTGGGCCTCGTCAACAACAATTGAGGCCAGTTAACTTGAATCCATACCAAATTCGACTAAGAATGCACCGCTTTCTATGACGTATGTAGCTTGCGTGAGTCGTAATTCTCTTCTTAGGCTTTTGTAACACCAATAGAGCTTACTGATACAGACTCACTGCATCCGAATCCCAATTCTAATATATTTCTAGACAGTTCGCTATTGACTGAGCTCCTCAATATGGTCAAACAGTTTTGACGGTCGCCGACGGGGCGCATGTGATTGGCTATTTGTTGGGGTTGGGCTGGTCTAAGCAACATCAAAAAATCGCAAGACTTAACTCTCATGAGGACTGATTGGTCTGTTGAGTTATGTACTTGACCTAATCAACTCCCGCAAGTAGATGATATGTGCCTCATTGATGGCAACCAAGGCCAGTTTTCCTAAATCCACACTGGAGGAAATCCAGAATGCGGATCTTTAAACTGCTATAAGTTTCAACGTGTTGCTTGCTGACCCAAATTTGAATTTTTCTCAATGGTTTGCTTTCTACATGATACCAACTAGCAATACCAAAAAAATCCATGGCCATTTTTTGGTAAACTGTTGAAAATCTGTTTGATTTGTTCTCTTTTTTTACTTGTGACTCTTTCACTATACTTGATTTTTATTCTGACTTATTTTGAACTTCTTAGACCATTATAGTCCTATGTAGATCTGTTGTGTATGCTAAGAGATCCTTTTGTAGTCAATAAACCTAGGTATTAACCCTCTTCTCAACCTTATTCTTCTCTTCTCTTTGTCTAATTATATTCATTACTGATTATATGTATCTTGATGAAAATCCATTATTATAAACAATTCTTGAGCATCTTGTAAGTATTCTTTTGGATAATGGATGATGTGTTCCATTCCAATCAGTAAGGATAATGAATAATGTTTATGTTGGCTTTGTGCCTTGAAAAGCTTGACTCTTGAAGGACTTGAAGACTCATCCCTTGAGGATTACCTTGTGCCTTGGGTCCATTCTTTATTTCTCTTATCAATGGTGTCCAAAACTATTAAAAATGTATAGTGTGAGGGGAGGAATTCTGATCTACTATTCAGGTCTTATGCTTTTGAATATGTTTTTTTTTTCTTGGAGCACAATAAAGCTTGCTTTACCCATGTATAAATCCTTCAAGGTCTGCACCACAAGCTGGTTATTCTGACAAGTGAATCGTTTTCATCAGAGACAGCAGGATTTGGAAACATAGGTAGCTAACTAGTATACCATGACTGAGGGCTGATTGATCTTATTGGGGTGTAAATCTCTGCCTCCTAACACTCTCAACAGCCAACCATCAAAATTGTAAAAATCTGAACTCAATGACTTGGGAGAGGAGGTTTGAACGGACTCAGGGAACACTTTTGATGGGACAAAAAAGTGGTCATGACTCAGTGAGGAGGAGAACCAATGGTTTTTGATTTCTTGTACTAGGCTAGGTTAAAATAGACTAGGTACAAGAGTTTGAGTTGTGGTTGTGAACCAGATGAATAAAAAAGAAAATGAATAGAAATAAAAAGAACAATCAAGAGAGAACAAGAGGGTACAACAACAAACACCAGGAATGGAGTATCTCCAACCAAGAAGATAAGCAAACATTACTTAGAGAAAAAAGCCCTCCTTGATCAGGGTTCTATGACTACAAGTCAGGGGGGGGGGGTCAGATTTCATAACAAAATGATGAGACAGACTATAATGGGGGAGATCTCATAACGGTGAAGGAGTAGATCCAAGTGATCACTAAGATTGAGATTGAGGCAGAAGTAAGAAAAGTAGAAGAAAGGAAGGGAACAGAGAGGAAATTCCAACAAAAATTCTGACACCACAATACACCTTAAAGCATCTGCATTCATTGAGCTAAAACCAAGCAAGTTTTGACTCAAAGCTTTTGTTAAACTACAATAGCAACCACCTGTCGGGCCCATTGATGTGACTTCTAACACTGTGGTTTCAAGTTGAAGTGGGTAGTTTTCTGGTGAGGGTGCCAACTGGAGGACTTCCCGTCAGATCTGGGACCCTTGCAGAAGTCCATCTAGAGCCAAAAACGTTTAATTCTCGCAGGGAGATTTGAGTTTCAAGGCTCTAAACCGGCTCTGGGAGACCCGCAGATGTTGACGGGAAGTCCTCCACTTGAAGTGTTGGCACAAGTTAGCTTTTGGCTAGCCCAAAAGCTAACCATTGCTACATGTAGCAAGGGTTAGCTGTAAATTTAGCTGATTGCCAGGTTAGCTCAATGTTAGCTTAACCTGGTGTGGTTGACATCAGTGGCTGAATTCCTCATCTCAAGCGGCAATAGTCAACTGATGCAGATCCTCTTACAATGAATATGGTTATTCCAACTCCACAAGGATATGTAATTTTGTTTGAATGCTTTCACTGCCAAATGGGTTGTGTTGGTTACAACCCCCACCATAATGTTGGGCGGAGGCACCCAATATAGAATGGGGGTTGGAAAAAATACTCCCTAAAATTTACCAACAACTCCCATTTTGGTCAAGGGGTTGTTGGCAGGAGTTGTTTTTCCAATCCCCCCTGGGGGATTGGAAGTCAACCTCCCAATTAGATATTTACTTTTTTGTATTTTTATTATTATCATGGGTGGGAGTTGGTGCCCCAAACCCTCCTTGGAAAGTGGGAGGTTTGGCAGTAGTCAAGTAAATTCAAATCCAAAGAATTGAGAGTGTAAGTTTTGATTGGATACAATAGAGAAAAAAAACAAAACGGTCATTGTCAGAAAAGAGATCATCATGAGGATAAAAAAAAAAATGAAATGGCCTGGTCTTGGGGTAGGCTGTTGACTATCTTGGGTAGGCTGTCAGCAGTCTTGGGTAGGCTTTCAACAGTCTTGGGTAGGCTGTCAACAGTCTTGGGTAGGCTGTCAACAGTCTTGGGTAGGCTGCTGACCATCTTGTTCAAAGTCCTGACAGGCTGATGACTGTCTTGTTAAATTTGGTTGTAAAATTCTGTTGACCATTCTGACTGCTATAATGAATTCTGCAGCTCTGGACTTTTCTCATGCCCCTGTTGTATTTGAAAACCGCACGGTGATCTCAACTGCTGACTACACTCCAGGTGAAGTATTTGAACATTGACTGCCACCAACAAACAACAGTAACAGGCTACATTGGAAAGCAACAATTCAACTAAAAACCACATTTAGTCTTGGATTTTTGACCATTGGACCAAACTAAGGCTCCATTTGGCCACCCAAAATATTATATATTTATGGTATTCAAAGTTGAAATGCATGAAATCATAGAGTGCATAAGATTATAATGCATATTTTTTTTTTTTTGGTGGGAGTTTCCCACTTTATGATCAAAACTCCTGCCAAAAAAATATACATTAGGGGGTATCAAATATAGGAAATCCACCATCAGAAACCAGTCACTTTTCCAAAAACTTTTTTTGCATAAATGGGCCCCAAAATGGTTTAAATGGATAACCAACATGTTTAAAAAAAGGTGGATTTTTTCAAACCAGTCAATTAAATAATGGTGGATTTGGTTGTATTTGATACCCCCTATTATAATCTTTTTCACTCTATGATTTCATGCATTTCAACTTTGAATACCATAATTTTTAAATGCAAATCACAATAATTGGATTTAAGATTTTTCAACCTTAATCAGATTATTACACAACTGTGCAAATCCATCATCACAGCACATATTGGTCCAGTCCAGAATGTGCCTCTTGGCTGGAGAATGTAAGCACTCAAAATATTCTGTAATGAACTTCATGTCATGATGCTGCCAGCCAAACATTCTTCTCAATATTGTTATAATCCCCCCCCCCTGACATAATCTGCAGGATTTTCGAATATCACTACATAATATTCTGGGTGGCCAAACAGAGCCTAACTTTCTTCCCTGAGGGCCCATCTGAGACCCTCTCAGTCATGGAGAGTGTTTTCTTTATCACACAGGTGCTGGTTTTGCCTGCCAAGTGTCACTTGGATGCTCCCAAAAGCATCCAAGTTATGCTTGAATTACCAGAGCATCAATTGGATGCTCTAATAGTAACCCTTGGATGATTTATTTTCTTGAACCATCCATTGGCTGACAGGGTTTTCTTCTACAAACCTGCACCATTGTGTAGTGTGGGGATTAATCTATTACTCTAGCCACTAGTGGCTATGGGGGTTACTTAGAGTTAAACTGGCCTAAAACTTAGAAATAATGAATAAGAAATAAGTTCTCTTTGTGGCCACTATGGAAAACTGAGATGAGGCAAGATTATAATAATCTTGATCTTTATTAAGTATAATGTTTTTAGCAACACAAATGTAATGATGAACAATAGAAATTGAAAGTGAGATGAGGAGGAAAGAAGAATCACAGAGAGAAACAACAATTGAAGTATATATATATATTGAAAAATAAAAACAAACAAGATGAAGACCTTTGATCATCAAATACTTCATCAAAGTATGGCAACTGATCACTTAACTCAAGTCCCTCCCTGGTGGGAGGACACTGTGTAGCACTGGCGCTGGGCGTGGAGCGCCCCCTCCCACAGGGAAGAACTTGTGACAAATGAGCACAATTTGGCTTGAGGCCGCTGTGGAAAATAGGGCGCGCCCTAGGAGATTTCTTGCACTTCTCCGCTCCGCAACACGTCCTACTCCGGTTTGTTGTCCGGGGTAACTTGCTTGATGGTCTCGTAGGTAGGTAAAATAACTATTCTTTTGTTGATTTTGGTAGGTAACACTCTAACTCTATTCTATCTCTAACAATTCTTTAGGCTAATACACGATTCACTCCTAAATCACTCTGTTTTTCTGATATGTTCTGAGTCATAAGTCCCCCCCCTTCCCTTTCTCTTCCACTCCAAACTCCACTCTTCCCAATTATCCCACACTCGAGTTTCCTCCTGCTTCCCACAATGTCCTCTGCTGTCACTCCCTCAGACTCCGCTCGTCACCCCTCCGACGCCTGTTGGTCCAGGTACTCCTCCGGCCACTCATGGACAGGTCTCTCACCGCTGCTTCCGCCTCTGGTCCGCTCTGAACCCCGCTTCCGCCCCTCGGTGCCCCCGCTCCTTGTAGCCCCTCCGTAGTATACACTGAACCCCCGTTCCGCAGTCGGCCGTGAACCCCAGTGTCCACCAGTGCCCGGATTCCCCGCAGCAAGCTTTTCGGAACCTTGCGCATTCGGCCTACTTTTCCCCGCTTTCCCACGCCTTGGAAAGCTAGACTTTCCACTAATTCACCGCCGCTTTCATCAGCTTGTGTGTGTAGCGTCAGCTCCGCATGCTTTGCGCATCAGCTGCAAGCATTCCGCATGCCCCCAAACAAACCGGCCAAAGCTTTGGTCAGCGCGCTCTCGCCACCACACCGCCCAGCCATTTTCCTGAAAAAGTCATTTTGACCCAATTCTACCCTCAGCATCATAATTGATTCCATATTTGCCAATGGCACCATTGGAATCAGTGTATTTTTCTACTAGTCTCCCTCACATCACATCCCCATCCACTGCTCTGCCCTGGAAGCTATGGTGATGTAGAGATTTGAGCAGTCCATGGAATCCGCTCTGGTAGAGAGTCGAGACCGGATACCTAGCTATATGGATCTGGATCCAGCCTCAACTGACAGATAGACTTACATATATATATATAGTCTCATCCGTGCCAACTTTATACAAATAAACTTATAGAAATTTGAAGCATCGTAGCATCATTGATCAAGTCAACAGAATCATTGAAGTCCTGAAGAATCAATTGCCAAATGATTGTTGAAGTCCTTTCAAATTGTTCACTCATAAGTTGATAGTCAAAAACCTGTGAGAGTGTTGTCCAAACAACATCCTGATACTCCAGAGTCCAAATGATTGATTGTGATGATCAGGGAGAGGCTATACAATATTGATTACTGAGCAGCCTGTTGTGGATGAAAATTTACAAAAAAAATATAGATGGAGCCTGACATAGAAGGCTACAGATTGGACAGATCACAGTTTGATTTGATCCAGACAGTTTTTTAAAAAAGGGGTTGTGTGCATTTTTACTGATTTTCTTGTCAAAAAATTTCCACCCTCAGGCCGTGTGAGTGACTTTTGGCATAAGCCTCTCCTTCAGAGAGCCTCCCTTTGGGATGCGGGAAGGAGAGGCTTATGTTAAGAGCAACTCCACGGCGGGCGGTAAATTGAGTCCCTAGTAGGAATTTACCAACTCAACATGAGCCACCGCGGCCGCTATTTGTGTCTCAAATCTACGGCCACCCCTAAATTTTGTGCCCAAGTCCCTACATGTAGGGACTCCCAGCGACTGCTCTATCGGCCTCCCAATCCCCTTTCACATAACAACTAGCTTATGAAACTCTACTACCTCAATACAAATTGGTTCCAACCACACACACCACTCATCCTTTCACAAATTGTTAAAGACTCTTACGGTGTATGCCGCTGCACTTTAAGGCTGTAAAGTTGGCTTTGCAGTCCCAACAATCAAAATTTAGCGGCCCAAAAATAGGGGCTGCGGTGGAGTTGCTCTAAGCTAGGGCAACTGGAGATCTTTGATCATCATACACCATCACAGCATGAAAAGATCAACTGGAGAACTTCCCGTCAACCTCTGGGGGTCTCTGGGGGTCTCCCAGAGCCGGTTTAGAGCCTCGAAATTCAAATTTCTCTGCAATAATTAAAAGATTTTGGGTCTAGATTGACTTCTGCAAGGGTCCCAGATCCGACGGGAAGTCCTCCACTAATGTGCATGGCTCATTAGTACAGTGAACCAAGTATTTAACTCAATAATCATCTAATTACAAAACTTTACAAATATCATTACATGTAGGCACTTCAAGCAGTGACCTGTTGCCCAGAGTGGAAGAAACTTGCCTCAAATTCATGTTGCTTGGGCGGCTGAAGTTGATCTAGAATTGGCGATGCGAGCGTGCGACTATGTAGCGCTGCGCCATTCCTGTGCGCTGGTTGACGAGGATGGTTAATTCTATTTTGGACCTCGTTTGTACTCTGACCCACAATCCGGCCGCTCGCTCGATTCAGTTCAAAATAGATTTTGCACTCCTCCCCGATCGGACGTACCGGTGCCCACCACGGGATTATAAGAACACCCACCCCTCCAGCCCTATGCCCCCATCCCTCCTGCTGCTCTTCCCCTCCCAACTACTTCCACGAGTCACAGTCCAACCCATTCGACCATCACTCTCACTCACTACCAACCCATCCCACACCTTCCAATCACTTTTTTCCACTTCCTCAGCCCAGTCCATCTCTCCCACCTCGCACCTCTCTATCAAGAAAAGGATGCCGCCCAAGAAGACTGTTGTCGAGAAAAAGGCTCTGCTGGGCAGACCTTCCAACAACCTTAAGATCGGGATCGTCGGGATGCCCAATGTCGGAAAGAGTAGTCTGTTCAATGTGATTGCCAAGTGTGGTAGGTGCGCCAAATTCTCGATCACCAAGTCCATCCCATCCTCCTGCTTTCACCTCAATAATGATGGCCATCTCTATTTCTGACTTCCTCTGGGTTCCCTTCCTAACAGATCTCGGTAAAAGCGCCAATTTTCCCTAGTAAGTTGACGATTGACTCAGCAGGAGCGCATCCAAAGTTTGACCCATCCGCGCTGTCAATTCAACCGTGCGGTTTCAGTTTCTTGGTCTGATGCCCAAGCTGCTTAATCAGTGCTACCATCGATCCTGAGGAGGCTCGGGTACCAGTACCAGATGAACGGTTCGACTGGCTATGTAGTGTATACAAGCCCACCAACAAGATCCCCGCCTTCCTCACCTGTATCGACATTGCTGGTCTCACTGCTGGTGCTTCCACGGGTGCTGGACTCGGGAATGCATTCTTGTCCCACGTCCGTGCGGTCGATGGAATCTTCCAAGTCGTCCGTGCTTTTGATGATGCCGAGGTGATCCATGTGGAGGGAGATGTAGATCCGATTCGGGATATGGAGATCATTCATACCGAGCTTAAACTCAAGGATATCGAATGGGTCGAGAAACATTACGAAACGATCAAGAAGAGCTTCCGTGGCACCGGGACGGCTAACCTGGCTGACAAAGCCAAGAAGGAGGAGATCGACATCACCGGCAAGGTCCTGGCATGGTTGAAGGATGAGGGACGTGACGTACGAAAGGGAGACTGGAATAACAAAGAGGCAAGTCGCTTATTATCGATCAAATCTTGAATTCCTCCCCTATCCTACTGCATTCAACCGGCAGTCTCTATACCTTTACATGATGAACAAGGGCGGCTATCACGTATTTGAACGCCCGATACAATCTATAACCCAGCTCGTCGAGTGGCAATATGCCACGCAAGAGATGAACAGTATTAATCTGATGATTATAACACCTCAATACTTCCGATTCTTGGCTCAATCGAAACCACAGAACACCCCAGGTTGCTAACAGTGAATTCACTTTTTTCACCCCCTTCAGATCGATGTGATCAACACGCTTCAGCTCTTGACTGCCAAGCCGGTGACCTACCTGATAAACTTGTCAGAGACCGATTACATCCGGAAGAAGAACAAGTGGCTTCCGAAGATCAAGGCGTGGATCGATGCCAACAATCCAGGTGATCTGTTGATTCCATTTTCGGTGGCACTCGAAGAGCGATTACTCCAGCTCGGGGTGGATGATGAAGTGCCCGCTCGTAAAGAGGAGCTGGCCAAGATCGGAACGACCTCAGCCCTCGGTAAGATCACCACCGCGGGTTATGCTAGCTTGCATCTCATTCGCTACTTCACCACCGGTCCCACCGAAGTGAGAGCTTGGACTATCCGAAAAGGAACCAAAGCTCCTCAAGCTGCCGGGGTCATCCATTCCGACTTTGAGAACAAGTTTGTATGTGGTGAAGTAAGTTTGATTTATATTATATCGTAGTAGTTATTGTGTTCCCCATTGGAAGCTCACATGTTTGTTTCATTTCTTTGATCGCAGATCATGACCTACGGCGACCTCAAAGAACATGGTTCTGAAGTTGCGGTCAAAGCGGCTGGGAAATATCGACAACAAGGCAAACCTTATGAGATGCAGGACGGTGATATCGCCTTCTGGAAACATGGTTGATCATCCTCGTATCATCCCTCTTATATCGACTTGGCATTTTTTCAATAATGATATTTTATTATCGACCCCGGTCTCCCAAACAGGATCGTCGTCTTGTGTTTGATTCATGTTGAAACCCCAATGTCTCCCCCCTTCTCATTTGTATTTTTTTCTGTCTCTTTTCATTTGAATCCATGTTTTTAAATGTATATTGCTTGGATGTCGAATCCCCCAAAAGCCCCTGAGTAACGCGAACCAACAATACCTTAAATCAAACAGTGAAAAATGTGTATCTCTTACCAATAATGAAGTTAGAGTCTGTAGTTAGTACCTTTGCAATCGGGCATGCAACCCATACACTGGCTTGTCTCCACCTGCTGCACACAGTAAACATTCTGTCTGGACTCTGACCTTACCCAAGTGCCCCGATAGTGCATGTCGCTAGGTCTTGCTTGTGCTTTCCTTTTTAGAACCACAGACAACCACAACGGGTTGGGTCGGCTTTAGCCGCGTGAACGGAGGAGCACAGCACGAAACGAACTTATCTAAGTCCGTTGTCCCTGCTGCGGCGTGGTGCACTGTTAGCCGCTGGTCGAGGTGTGGCACTGATCTCTCCCGCAGGGAGAGGACTTATAAATTAAACACACAGTCTGGTGTGACGGAAGTTCACCCTTTTGGTGTAGCAAAGTTTAAATTTCACTGTATAAATAGTTCCATAATACTAGTTTATCCCAAGTTTATATGGCTTAAACTTGTGCATCTTCCCCTCCAGACTGCCAACTCCACTTATGGTTAGCATTTTTTTTTCTCTGAGAATATCCAACTCAAATAATCAGAAATTCAGAATTTGATTTGTGCATTGACTGGCGGGTGAAAGCTATATACATACATTCCTGACCGTTTAAATTGTCTCTTTTTTTACTATTCCCTCTCTTTTTTTCACAATTCACTTCCAAGTTCCGCCTTTGATCGGTCCGATCACTCTTGCGTCCTCTCTCATCCTTCAGCCGCATACACCCATCTATTTTCAAAATCAACAAAAATGGCGATCACGTACTTAAGGAGACCTTCCGGGAAGAAACTCATGACAGAAGATAAGAAGATTTCGGCCATATGTGATTTAATCACTCAACTCAACTACACCCCCAAGTCATTCCTTCAAACCTTCCTCCAACGCAAAAACATGAAGTCCGCCGTCCAACGCCGGTTCTGGGGCACGCGTATAGGATGGCCGACCACACTTGTGCTCCTCAAATCTATTCGTGGAGTTATTGTCAAAAAACCCTCCGGCCGTCAACGATGGGAAGATTTCATTCTAGCTGAGGTGAGTATTGATAAATATGGAATTTACTTACTCGTTCTGGTAACTGAAACTCAAAACAAATTTTTTATCTCTACAGGCTACCGGAATCGTCGAGGCGCAGAAGCCTCCCCGTGGAGCATATCCCAAAGGCGCATACCACAATACTAAGAATCTCTCTCCCTATTTCTTTAGCTCAAAATCGAAGAGACAGCGAACTGAAGATATCAAAGATCATATGCCCTTTTTGTTTGAACTCCTTGTGAATAAGATGGGACATCGACCCGGCAATAATCAAACAATGAAGGACGGAAACGACTTGAGTGATTGTGACTCAGATTCTGCCGAGACTTTGAGTGCAGCAAGCGAGGACGATCATTACATGTTCAGCGGGAAGACTTTGAATGGACCGAAGAAAAAATCGTCGATAGATCATGGTCAAAGAGCTCGGATGGTAAGTTTTTTTTTGTTGATTTCCTTCTGTCAATCAAAATGGAGTCTCACAGCCAAATGAAACCTCCACAGACTGCGTCAACGATGTGCTCAATGGCTGCATTTGTCTCAAATCGACGTCACAATGGACATCAACTTGCAAACTCCATCTCTTTCCTAGCGTGTGGTGTTACCGACCGAGTCAGCAAGTTCTTACAGTATGTTGGCCTCTCATCCTCCCGCCAAACAGCCCACAACTCCTTGCATCGACTGAGCAAGCAAGCCGAAAGACGAATTGCAACGAAGATTGGCCGAACTCCTCCCAATCTCCCAACATTAGCCCCTTTCTTGTGCTTTGACAACCTCGATTTCGAACAGAGGATACATACACAGTCGATTGGCCATTCAACCCACATGTTCCACGGTACGTGGGGCTATGTACATCAGATAAATCAGGCTTTACTCGATTCGGTACCCAAGGCCGATCTTACTCTGGCGAGCTACAAACGAGCAATGTCTAACATTTCAAAACTTGAAGTCACCCCTAAAATGTTCATTCCAAAACCACCAGAGGACGAGCACTGGGAATTCGTCTTGAAAAGTCAAATCGCGCGTACAATTCTCGAGCATATTGCTCAACCATCTGATTCACAAGTATCAATTGCGATTCAGCCTCCCATGATTGATCAACTTCCGGCCGACGAGCCTGACATAACCATGCTGAAACTGATGGTTGCTTCAGATAACTCATCACAAGGAGTTGGTGAAGTATTTGAAGCAATTGTTAATCAGTCAAGCATCTCCATGACCGACTTTGCCAGTCGACTACAGATTATCGATGCTGATCTAGCTTCTTGTACAAACATCTCAAGTTTGCGAACTCAGCGAGTGCCAAGCAGGCATCCTGAAGAAAGCTTATCACATGTCTTAACAATCTTGGGGGGATCGCACACACTGTGGAACATTGCCCATGCAATCTATTCAAAGCACTACGGAAATTGCTCTGACTCGCGCGATTCAGGCGCCTGGCGATTTCTTCAAGGTCTTGGAATTCCGTGTCCAAATGTTGTGGACAAGAAAGACTTCACGCTTATGATCAAGAATATGGACAAGATACATACAGCGACGTTGGTTTACTGCATCAAGTGAGTAATTGAATCATTTTTTACATCTAATCAAACGTTTACCATGGTCTTATTTTCATGTAACCCAAACAGACTGGTGATGGGTACCGAGAAAGAAAACATCAATGACCAACTCGAACAGCTCCCTAGCAAAACAATCAATGATTTAATCGATCAAACATTCGATCGATTCTTTTCACCTGAGGCCAAAAAAGCCTCACAAGGCTCAGCGAAGTTGTCAAACTTAATACTGCGTTTATCCGATTTCGCGTCTGTTGTTGAGGGGAATGCTGCAATGAAAGCTGGAGATGTCGGAAGGCTAATGGTTGTCTGGAAACGATGGGCTGTTATATCGCAAGGGATCAAGAAACTGACTCAATATTCTGTTCAACTACCTCGGATGATCTTACTACTGAACGAGGTATTACCACGTGGCTTGGCCCACATTATATTACATTCACTATTGATCGCCCCGAGTGGACGTCAGAAGCATTTTGTTGCAAAAGATCAACATCTTGAGCAGCAGAACTACTGGCTGAAATTCTTTTTCAACCATGGAGGTCGAGGGGCTGACATTGATCGGCTCAAAAATGTGTACTCAGTCAACATTACATTGGTAAGTCAAAAAATACCAAATAACTATGAAGCTTGAAATAATTAGAAACATTGACAGTGTTTTGACCGTTCATAGCTTCAAAATATTATCAGCGACCTGGCGAGTGATGCTGGCAAAGTCGATATCGCTCAATCACATCACAATCGGATTGGTATAACATCCCTCAACAATTGCCTTCGGATGTGTCGACAAAATGATGTGTGTTCAACTGTTCATAAGCTAGGCGAGTATATACCGGCTGTTATCGACAACTTTTATGCACTAGGGATTCAGACACTGAAAGTAAAACAATTGAAAAAAGGAAAGCCGATAAATAATCTTCGACCATCGACTATTGGTGTATCTAACTCTCACAACCACCTAGACAATGTAGATGACGATACGGATGTTAGCTCGGCTGGGGATGATGAACCCGAAATAGATGAAAATGGGGCAGGAGATGAAAATACGGAAGGTGATGAACAGTCTGCTGATGATGGAGAGTGGCAAGACATATAACTTACTAGGTAGGCCCTGATCCACCAGCCCGATGTGAGCCTGTACCATAGAATTCTTTCCGTGACTCAATAAACGCTGATGCCTCCAACCATCGCCTTGCTTTTGCTTCCTTCTCCTTGGCTTAGTGTTCATCCTTGGGGGTCTTCTCTGCCTCTCGCTTCCTCTTCCTTTCTTCGGTTTCAATTCGTTTCGGCTCCTTTTGTTGAGAAGATGACTGCTGTTTGGCTAATCGATTTGCTCCGGGATTCCTTTGATTCTTTGTATCTCGTTATCAATGTTATCACTGTACTTCTCTCTTTCACGATTGTAATTTTTGAACTCAGTTCCTTCTCGGAAGTTAATCACACAATTGTACAACATTTGTAGCTCCCCATCAACCATGTCACCAATAAACTTCACCAGATCGTGCTCGTTATTGATTTGATCCAAGTTATCCGCAATAGTGTTGGCTTCCAAACAGCCAAAGAGTTCTTCCGGAAGAAACGATCGCGCCTTCCCATACGTATCCTTGAAGAAAGCGTTAAAATTCTCGACGAGTGTGACTGCAAACTGAGCAATAACTGGATTTTGAACACAAGTTTTTTTCTTCGCCTGCCTGGTTCGTTTTTGTTTTATTAGTTGATCGGAATTTGGGTCGATCAACAATTCCGGGTGATTGAGTGAAGATTCAATGTTATCATTATCGATTATCCTCATGTTATTTCGAAGCATCTTGGCTTCTTCCGGTGCGCAATTGGAACACTTGCACACAGCAAACCCTTCGTCTAGCTCCCTGATTTCTTCTCTAAGGTAGTTGGCATCGTCTCGATCCATTGGAATGTATCCATATCTGCATGTTAATCAACCAAAATTTTTATTTATTAAATTATGTACATTTAACAACAAGAAATCAAAGAATACATACAGATTATCTACTGAAAACGCAATCCTAAGGCAGACAGGGGTAAGTGCCAACGAGTCCATCCTAACATCATCTGTCTGTTTGTCCCCTTTTGAAATTGCCTCGATCGTATTGAGACCAAATCGTCTCTTCGGCTCCATGAATAGGATGGCTAACCCCGGTTTCCCATCGCGACCACAGCGTCCCATCATTTGGCAGATGCTCGAAGGGTCCCCTCGGCCCATGTGTACAACCCTTCTAACCCTTTTCCAATTTTGACCGAGGCCCAAGGCCATTGTACAGGAGATCATCGGGAATTCGCCTTGTTCGTATCCTCCGATGGTGTCTTCTTTATCCATATCACCCGTACATGCGTGATATCGGCGAATCAGGGTGCTATCTGCATCTTCATGACCATTCTCTATCCCTCGCGCTTGATTCACAACTTTCATGACCTGGAGTGTAGCATTCCGGGTCCCAGAGTATATCAAGGTTGGTGGCAGCTTCGCATTTGCAAGATCCTCCTCTGCCCCAAACATCAATCGAAGGTCACGGGTTGACTTGAGAGAGCATTCCATTGGGAACCGTAGAATTCGAATCTCGGGACGGGTCAGTTCTGCTCGCACAAAGTGCATGTTTTCTTCTGGAATCCTGAGACTCTTCAGAATTTCGGTGATAGCTAGGGGTCTGCAAGTCGCCGATAACATTAAGATTGGCGTGTTTTGAGTCGCCATTAGCGCTCGACCAATGTCCCCATACGAGGGTCGGAAGATTGATCGGTCTTGGTGCCGTTTGTGAGCGGACGACTTCTTAGCTTTCTTGTTAGCTACTAGTCCCCAGCTATATATCATATGACTTTCATCGACCACCGTCAGCACTAGATGATCTTGAAACTTTGGATTATGATAAACATCGGTGAACATCTGGTTGTTCAGGAGAATTTCAGGACTCAGGTAGATAAAGTTGTATTGAGCTTTGAGTATCTGACCAGCAATCGTCTCATTGAAATTCATTTTCTTCAGGTTTATGGCGGTGAACCCCTGTGCAATCTTCTCTTGCACTTGGTTATCGCCGAGTGCATCGAGAGGATTCAAAACTAAGACGACCGGGTTTATTCGTTTTCGCAAAGAGATGGACATACATCTCTGGGATCCGAGATTTACCAAAACCCGTCCCGGCCATGACGAAGGTGTTTTTGAGTCTCACTAGATTCATCACGGCCTCTATCTGCCTTCGGCTTTGAAGGTTGATCACTCGGATAACATGGTCTTGCGTCCTCGGCGATGGTCTTTTCCAGCTCGATGTCATTCAACTCGGTGAGTTTCTGTGCAAGGGTAACCTTATCAGACTTCTTCTTGGCTTTCTTTCGAGGCATCTTGAGGTGTTCAGTTTTGTTGCTGATGATCAAAAGAGAGCAAAGACAATTCGATGACCTTGCTTATCAGAGTCTTCGATCACAAAGATCGACCGACCGTTGGGAATTTGGGACTATGTCTTCCTTTGCCAACGGTTAATTACTGTTGAATTAAAAAAAAAAAAACCCATGAAAAAAAATACAACAAAAAAGGAAATCAGAAATATTATCCGGTTTCAAAGACAAAGAGGAAAAATCGCAAAGGAATTCTGAAGAGATAGGAAGATGCGCTGGCATCTTGCGCAGATCCGGTATACCACAAAGTGTAATGCTTTTCGGTGGGAAAAAAACCAAGTGGCAAAAAACACTAAAACAGCCTCAAAAATCATATTCTGTCACGCGGGCTTCGACGTTTCATCGATAAGCCTCGCATGCACTTCGCGCCTGGCTCTCGCCAGCGAATGCTCGCTGAGGTTTTGTTACGCTCGAGCACGAAATGTTCTAAACCACCTGCCAGGCGAGTGGCCGCTTGTGGCCACTAAATTGAGAAGCCCAACATCTATCTTTTTGGTTTATTTTGTACCGAGAACTAAGCCTGGGGCAGATGTGGTTGCCCGGCGAGTCAAGTCGCCAGAATTCGGCAATTTAACCCGGCAAATTCGAATGCCCTTAGTTTGGTTACACTGATCGGTGGGCACAATCGAGCTCTCCCCCTTACTTGTAATCAAGTGAGGGATTAAAAAGTTTCAATAAATCTGCATTCCCGCTTTTCTTCGCAACCCTTTTTAACCTAAGCATGATGGGATATTGATTTGTGCCTATTGCTACGGTATAATTTACAACCTCTTTGGTATACTACATTCATTCAATTATTGAACGTCGATGTTTGAAGTTTCAGACGACGTTGACTGTGTGAGGGGTATAAGGGACGGAAAAAGAAACCCGTTCAAAATAGGAGTAGAAGAAGGCGACGAATGAAAAAAAAAAAAACAACGATGGTAAGAATGGGAGGGAACTCAACTATCATTTAAAGCAACCGCGACGCAAGGCTTGGAGTGTCCCGAGTATTGTCGAACGGTCTGGCCTGAGGCGAGTTCCCAAAGGCGTGCGGAATGGTCGGAGGATGCAGAGACCAGATAGGCCGAATCGGCCGAGAAGGCCAGGTCCCAGACCCATCGCTGGTGATCGTATAGCGTCTTGTCAAGCTTCGGAGGCTGGTTCGGCGTCAATGACCATATCTTGATCGTCGTATCTGCTGAACATGTCGCTAGAAGTCTACACATATATCATCCATCATCAATTTTGTATTCTCCGGTTCATCAGACCAAAACATGCTCGGCTCGGGTGATCTTAAATCTTCAGAAAAAATACATGGTTTTTGTGCTTACCTAACATCTGGACTTAATAGAACTTTCAGACAGTATCGTTTGTGCGCTTCGAATGTTGCTTCTGCTTGGAGATCCGTGTATCCTCCAACTCCTGATGTGGATATGTTCCAGAGAAATACGTTACCCTGTTGTTTGGAGAAATTCACATGTGAGTTCAGTTCTTCCTACTTTTGTCAAGGGGCGGACAAACCAAAAAGTAAAAAAAAAGTCTCACCGAATTGTTTCCCGCAACTAGACAGCTGTTGTCACTTGCAATGCTGACACTTCTTTGAGGTACATCATCTTCTGGGAACTGATCGAAGCAGTCGAAAAAAAAAAAAAAACTCAGAGAGAGAGACACAAAGATGAGAAGTGAAAGAAGACTCCAACGAAACTAATTCATGAGTGCATGAGTCTGCCGCTAAGTCCCAGATCTTGATAGCCCCAGATTGATCGCACGAGATGATTTCACCTTGGTTTGGATGGATTGCGATATCTGGTATAGGTACGGATCAGTAGACGGTTATATTAGAGTCCTCTAGTCTGTTTCAGTGAGAGATTCATTCGAGAATGTTTTATATGGATTGGGGGCTTTACCATTCACCGCACATTTGTGGTCGTACTTGTAAATTGAAGTCAAAATGGAAATGTGAGCAAATAGAAGACAAGAAACAAAAGGAGTAGTTAACTCAACTGTACGTTGTGCCACGGGTGTCCTGAGCAGAAGTTTAGGGAACGGATTCAGTATTCGTCTTGTCGGATGATCGAGTTCTTGTTGAGTGGTTCTTACCGAGTGTCCCATATTCGCATCGCTCCATCCTCACATCCAGTGACAAACCATTTGCTTTCTTTTGGCCATGCCACACTGGTAACGTTCCCATTATGAGGGAAGCTTTGAAGCTGTTTTTTTTTTTGTAGGGAGGCAAGAAGAAAGAAAGAAAGATCAGGTCATTGTAGAGCGTTGCGAATTTTTTGGAGAATTAAACTGACCAATCCGGTTTGAGCATGTGCTTGTTGTTGGTGTTGTGGGGTTTGATCGTTGGTTGATGTGGCATGTGAGCCCCCTTGATTCGGTGCAGGATGATTGGAAGCCGTGGCGATTGCTACATCGTATAGTCGAACGTGTGCGTTTCCGGCAACTGCTAGATGTCGTTTATCAGGTGAAATGGCTAGGCGATTGATTTGCTAGAAAAGTCATAATGAATTCGTCAGTTTATCATCATCATTATTCCCTTTCTTTTTTTTTTTTTTTCAAGAAAAATTGATGGTGATTTCGATGTTGGACAAACCTAACGGTTGATCCGAAGAACTGTGAGGAATGTGATATTGAAATTGAGAAGACTTTGTATTTTGTATATTGAATTTGTTTTTTATTAATTAAAAAAGGAGGAAAAGATTACTCACACTTTGAGGATGATTAATACTTTTAACGCAGATACCAGACCAAGCTTCCCAAAATCTGATCGTATTATCATATCCACCTGTGGCCAAGATGACATCCAATGGATTACTTTGTCCGGTTTCTACCAAGCCATTCGGGTCGGCCATTCTCGTGAATGAAGGGAGTTGATAGCGATCAGGGGAGGATGGTGATTGGTTGGGGCTGAAAATGCAAGAAAACTTCCGATTGTCGAAGATGAGGTCAGAGTAGATGTCGATCTGAGGATGCGATCCGGTACCCCGGATCAGAATCTAGCTCATCCGCAGCATAATCCAGGCCGACCGAGCTCCGGCACTAGCTAGTACCCAACGGATCAGCTCTGCATGGGCCCAGGAAACCCCCTATAAATGTCAGTAACCAAAATGTATGAATCTTTTGGCAAAAACCCAAAATGATACTCACCAAAAATGTGTGAATGAGTATTTTTGGGCAAAATGTTACTCACCTGAAATGTATGGAATTTTTTGGGCAACAATGAAGGTTAGTAACCAAAAATGTATGATTTGACTATTTTCCTTTTTTGAACCCCAGTGACCCATAATTCAACTGTTTAATGTTAAACCACAAACACCCCCGCCAAACAAGTATTGCAACAAGGCAATGGCTGGCCGAGATGGTCTAATGGGGGAAGACCATCGTTACCCGGTAGCCCTGCAGGCTGATCCTAGCATGCAGGTTCCAGGTTCGAATCCTGGCGGCCCCACCCCTCCCCCACCCCCTTGGATGTTACACTCGTCCGTCAACAGATCTGATATGTTGTAAAGTTATAAACCTTGCCCGTAAATGCAAAGGTTCTCATACACAGTTGTAAATACAGCCTCATTGCGGGCTTTGTCAGCTTGTCACTAGTAAAGCAGGACAATCTGACCTGTTTTAATGACGTTAGTAGCCTTGTTTCATAAATATATATAAATAAAAATTAATTGCATTTAAAAGTTATAATGAAATAAAATAGAAACCAGAATTAACTGTTTAAAACGGACCTCAGGAGCTCGCGCAGGAGACTCCGCAGCAGTCACAATACTCTGCTATACCGTAAGTGTCATCTCCAGCGCGCGTCCTCGAAGTGTGACATCCAGTTTCACAGGATGTCACACTTCAAGGAAATACCTAGGATTGGCATCGTCAGTCATGACCTCACAACTGAACCGACATAACCACCTCAAACCTCAGAATAGGAACTCGGCTCCCACACGCCATCGATGACGGACCCAAGGGACATAAAAGCCAGGTCAAGTCAGAGCTGAAGGAGGGATCATCAAGAATTTCACCTGTTTCACTTTTTTATCTACGAACTCCTTTTTGCAAAACCCACCAAACTAACACTCATCCTTAATCTCTTAAACAGACACCACAAAAGCTTACAACTGTCCACCTTCGTTGCCATACCGGAAATCAAGCTAAAACCCCGTCTAGAATATCACTCGAGTACCAAGGATTGGACCGAGTAGCTATCACCGAAGAAGGATTACTTGTCGTTAAGTAAGTACCTTCCTCGAGCCTTCCTCCTACTCCCATCCCAGTGCAGACCACCACCCCTAGGCTCAGCTAGGACCTGCCGACGAGCAACGGTGCCACAGATACGAGACATGTATTTGTATCGGATCGTATCGTATTTATTTTGAGCCTGATACCGGTATCAGTATTTCCTTGGTTGGTGAAAAAATACATTGTATCGGATTTGGATTTAAAAATGAAAAAAAAAATTCGTCTTCGTTTTTTTTCGTTTTTTCTTCAATACAGCCAAGTATCTTATGTATCAGTTTTGGTGGGATCATTCATCTGAGACGATACAGAATACATTTCTCACTTTTCAAATACGATACATGTATATGTCTCAGGAAAGTGAGACAACACAAATCCGGTATTTTTGGGTATTCCAATTCTGAGACGATACAGATAAACGCCTGATACCATATCGTATCGTCTCTGTGGCACCGTTGCGACGAGCTATCCGAAGTACCGCTACCTATCAGCGGCATACTCAAGCTTCGCACCCGAGGGCATCGTAAACAAACCCACAACCTGGGCCCCTCTTTCTTCCCCCTTCCAGCCCTCTCAACCAAACCAACCCCATCAACGGGTGTAGCTAGAAGATCATCGATCTTGGCATCACCTTGTCTGACAGGCTAACACCACACAAGTATTACTATAGTGCGCAATGTCAAATCAATCAGCCCCTAAAAAAAACAAAACCCCTCTCTAAGGCAATG